ACAAACAGCAAGAAACAGGAAACAAAAAGCACATTATAGAACAGCTATAAATCAAAATAAAATATCTGACGAGAATGCTGCTAACATAAGTTGGTTGGAAAGAGCAGTTTTAAATTTACCGCTTGTTGTGTGACGTCACACTTCGACAATTTTGATTGGTCGCATGCGCGTGAGCATACCCTTATTCTTATACCATGGTCATACCCAAGTGTTGAGGGTAACCTTTAGATGTTTAGTGTGTAAACTCAAACTTGAGTAGGAACGTGTGAACGCTCGATCTTTGAGTGTATACACTCAATGTTTGAGTGTAAACACTCAAAATTTAAGTGTAAACACACAAATTTCAGATAGCGTTTTCGATTGGGCAAAAGTTAGTGCGCACCAGTGCGCACTCAGTTCACACCAACACTGGACGAGTTCCATGGGTTGCACTGAATAGTGCAAGTTCAAAAGAATACGCCAAGATTTTCAGTGCTAAAGCTGAAACTCATTTTTGTTCACTTTGAAGCAATGTTCAACAAAATGTTACAAAACCACAGTAAAAAGATATTAAGAGTAGGGACAAGACCCCGTTTTCAATTCAACTGCGCAGATTTGCTTGTCCCTATGTATATCCTTAACTGTGATAAAACGTGCACTGAACTGGCACCGTCAAAATATCTCGTGCCACTTAGTGCGCACTGAGTGCGCACTACGCGAGTGTCGTGCGATCAAATGAACACGTGACACTAGCCAAGTGCGCATTGGCACTGCCAATCGAACACGCTCTTGACACTGAGTGCAGCCAGTGCACTCCAATCGAAAACGCTAATAGCATGTTTCATTGGCAGAACTAGTGCGCACTCAGTGCACTTCAACGCCGTTATACAAAAATCGACGTAAAGATATACGTTTAATAAAAATATACAAACGAATTAAACCGTGAAATATTCGATACATTTTATTGTGCTATTGATAAAATAAATTTTGGGCATTTTATCAATTGAAATATCTCATTTTTATATTTAGATTAGAATAGTGTACAACAGCCTTAATGTGCACTGAGTGCGCACCAGTGCAACCAGTGAAATACGCTATAAGAGTAAACTCCCAAAATTTAGGGTTTACACTCAAATTTGAGTATAAACACTGAAATTTTCAGAGTTTTTTCCGTAAGGGAAGATCTTTAGATTTTTTCAGAATCTTTTGAAATATACAAAGATATAAAGAAACAAATTTTCAAAAAACATATATAATGGAATTCTAACTATATACTCACAATGATCAAATTTGCAGCTTGTCGTAATAAAAATATGGCTGTAGGATATATTAGGATAATCGTTATTTCCATCAAACGCGAAACGGCAGCAACGGAAAATAGGATACCAGACAACATCAACAGAATTATAAGTTGAAAAAGTCCAATTAGTATCTACAATAAAAATATTTATTAAATCATTAGATTTAAAACAAGATTAGTTATTCAAATTTTGCAATCGAAAAATTGTAAATTTTTTGTCTGTATAAATATTGAAATCATAAAGTTACGTATAATATTATGTAAAATTCTTATATATTAATTATGTATAAATTACTTAATATAATTCTTACGCAAATAATCCACATTGCTGGTGTTTCCTCGTTTTACAAACTATTTGCAATTTTGTCAATCGTAAATTATTCCACAATCAAATCGATTAAGATTCTGCTTTAATTCATCGTATTTAATAAACTGTATTTCATATCTTAACTTCAGTCGACGAGTGAGCTTAAAATTCTTTGAGAAACTTTTACAATTCGACATGACACAAGAATAATATTAATTTGGCTATGTTCCAAAATTGACTGCCTGTACTGAAAATCGATAGTGGACGTGACATAAATTGTAACATTTTCAGCGCAGACAGTAAATTTTGAACACAACCCATTCAATTTAAAATAGCCCAACTTCATATTATATATGTTGTACTTCTCAAAGAAATCAGACGACAGACAAATCATTAAAAAAATATAAAATTATATAAAATACATAAAATATATGAAAATACATAAAATAATTAAAAAGAATTTAATCACATATTAAAATTTTAATAAATTACAAGTTTCTTATACGTATATACATGCATATATGTATATAGAAAAGGCCCTTATCATGGAATACCGAGTTTATTTTAGATAAATGCTAGAAGTCCATGAACAGAATTTTAAAAAATAATAGAGTATTTTGAATTTTTTTTTAAGGGAATTCAATAAGCTTTAAGATAACGTTATGTAAAATTTAATTCAAATTATACTTTTTTTGAAAATTAAAGAAATGTAAAAAGTGAGCAAATCACTGTCATGGGACAGCACCCTAAGGGCCTGCGCACAATAGAGGAACAGGAATTAGATATTAAGATTTCAACCTATCAGAAACTGATTACATCGGAATACACGATTTCTGATGGGTTGAAATCTTATAGCGTTTTCGGCCCGATCGGGTTTGCACCAACCTGGGTTGTCAAAACGTCATTAATCCAACCCAGGTTGGTGCAAACCCGGTCGGGCCGAAAACGCTATTAATATCTAATTCTTGTTCCTCTATTGTGCCGATTGTGCGCAGGCCCTAAATGATTATAACCGATAGTTACACGTATCAATAGATGGTGGATCGCGCTCTGAAAATTATTGCGTGTTCTGCAAACCATCGAAAAAAAAGTGTTGCCTCAGTGTCAGCGACTGTTCAATGTACCGTCTTGAGACGTCCAATGAACGTTGTCTCGATAGGGCGTAAAATGGACTTTTTATGGACGTTATTTGGACATATTCCAATAAGAAATGATAGTGGAGATAGATATCGAATCGACATTGAATTGATGTCTATTCCATTGATTGCAAAATTGTATTGAAAATGAGAAAAAGGTTTTAAAAATTGGAATTATGTTAACTAAATTAATTGGAAAATTGTTTGAAAAATTGAAGATTTATACGATAAAATTGATATCTCTTAAACTTGATATAATAGATTAAAATATAATTAGTAAAATACACATTTCTATTCTTCATACTGTTTTTAAATAAGGCTAACATATATAAACTGCAGCTTGAGGGTGCACTTTATTTCTGTAATTTTTATAACATATTATGTTGTCATTTTATTATGTAATTATTTAGGATAATTTAGCATCATTTTTTAAATTATCGTCTGTTAAAATATATTTCCTTCAAACATCTATGTAAAGATGAGGTTAGAGGTATGCATCTTCAAGTTCCGTATTTTATTATTTGTATTTTATCCTCCATCTCTCTCTCTCTCTCTCTCTCTCTCTCTCTCTCTCTCTGTCGCTCTCTAAAAATTCGGTTACTAATAGCGTTTTCGATTGGGCAAAAGTTAGTGCGCACCAGTGCGCACTCAGATCACACCAACACTGGACGAG